TGGAGCTGCTGCTGAGTCTGTACAATAAAGGAATGGTGTGGAAGGTTGCAGCGTACGGACACAAACACTTTGTGGTGACAATCTGATTTTATTTTCAACATTAAACTACTAACCTACACTGATCAATGATGTTAATGATCACATCTGGACTCACCCAGCCTTTCTGCAGTTCCTCACAGCTGGAATCAGTCTCTGTCGTCCCGGCTCTGATGTGTTGTACTTCTGCAGGTCCAACTCATCCAGAACCTCCTCTGACATCTGCAGCATGAAGGCCAGAGCTGAGCACTGGATCTCAGAGAGTTTCTTCTTTGATCTGTTCTCTGACTTCAGGAACTCTTGGATCTCCTGAAATAATGAGAGGTGGTTCATCTCCATCAGACAGTGGAAGATGTTGATGCTTCTGTCAGGAGAGATTTTATATCTGTTCATCTTCTTCAGGTTGTTGATGACTCTCTGGATGGTTTCTGGACTGATCTCTGTCTGACCCAGCAGACCTACTAAGAGTCTCTGGTTGGACTCCAGACAGAGGCCATGAAGGAAGCGAACAAACAGGTCTAGGTGGCCATTTTTACTCTGGAGGGATTTCTCCATGACTCTCCTCAAAAATACATCAAGTGATTGGAGATCTTTGTTATCAAAAAGACTGAAAATCATCTTGGTGAAAGATTCTGATTTTAGAAACATCTTCAGCACCTTTGTCTTCCTGTTGGTGACACAGTGGAACATGTAGACAGCAGCCAGAAACTCCTGAATGCTCAGATGAACAAAGCAGTAGACTGGTTTCTGGAAGATCACACACTCTCTTTTGAAGATCTCTCTACAAACTCCTGAGTACACCGAGGCCTCTGTCACATCCAGACCACACTGCTCCAGGTCTTCTTGGTAGAACATGATGTTTCCTTTCTCCAGATGTTCAAACGCCAGCCTCCCCAGCTTCAGAAGAACTTCCCTGTCAGCCTCCGTCAGCTCCTGTGGACTCGTCTCATGTCCCTCATGGTACTTGTTCTTCTTCCTCTTTGTCTGAACCAGCAGGAAGTGTGAGTACATGTCAGTCAGGGTCTTGGGCAGCTCTCCTCTCTGCTCTGTAGTCAACATGTGCTCCAGAACTGTAGCAGTGATCCAGCAGAAGACTGGGATACTACACATGATGTGGAGGCTCCTGGATGTCTTCATGTGGGAGATGATTCTGCTGGACAGCTCTTCATCACTGAATCTCCTCCTGAAGTACTCCTCCTTCTGGGCGTCAGTGAAGCCTCGTACTTCTGTTAGCCTGTCAACACATGTAGGAGGGATCTGATTGGCTGCTGCGGGTCGGGAAGTTATCCAGACGAGAGCCGAGGGAAGCAGATTCCCCTGGATGAGGTTTGTCAGCAGCTGGCTGACTGATGACTTCTGTGTGACATCAGACAGCAGCTTCCTGTTGGTGAAATCCAATGAAAGTCTGCTTTCATCCAGGCCGTCAAAGATGATCAAAAGCTGAGAGACAGCCAGCTTCTCTGCTGTGACCTTCTGTAATGTTGGATGGAAAACATGGAGCAGCTCCAGAAGACTGTACTGCTCATCTCTGATCAGGTTCAGCTCCCTGAATGAAAGCAGAACCACCACACTGACATGTTGGTTCTCCAAGCCCTCTGCCCAGTCCAGAGTGAACTTCTGCACTGAGAAGGTTTTTCCAACACCAGCCACGCCGTTGGTCAGAACCACTCTGATGGGTCTCTGTTGGTCAGGTAAGGCTTTAAAGATGTCCTGGCACCTGATTGGAGCGTCATGGAGGGCGTCCATCTTGGAAGCTGTCTCCAGCTGCCTCACCTCATGTTGGGTATGAACCTCTTCACTCTGTCCCTCTGTGATGTAGAGCTCAGTGTAGATCCTGTTGAGGAGGGTTCTACTTCCTGTTTCATCACTTCCTTCAGTCACACGTTCACATCTCCTCCTCAGACTGATCTTATGTTCATCTAAAACCTCCTGCAGACCAACATCTGCTGAAAGAAAGAAAAACAATGAGACTAAAGAGAAAGAAAAGTCTTCAATGTCTGAACAACACAAGAAGTCCAGTTTTCAGAAATGAGTCCATCAGCAGACAGATGTTTAGTCTTACTTTGTACACAGCTGCTCTGACTGGCTGTCTGCAGTCCAGCTCTGCTTCTGGATCTTTCTCCACACTGTGCAGAAGCTCTGATGGTGACACAGAAAAGTCAAAGTGGAGATACTTCTGTCCACCTTTGATTAGACTCATTATAAAAGGAAAACAAAGTTTGAACACAGTCATGTTTCCAGTTCACTGACTTACATTTATTCCATGGACACTCACTCTAACCTGAACCACAGCTACAACCCAACATTGTTGAGGCCTCATCTCCTCCTTTCCTGACTGTAGAGGTTAAATATGCACCAACCAACAAATAAAAGAATTGGTTCATTTCCAAGAAATTCACACGGTGACCAAGTAAAGTAACCATAGTAAAGGAGACAACATCCTGTTGATGGTGGGATTATTTGAAAGATTTGCTTTAGTCACGTCACCAAATGCAGTTGAACCACCCGTGGATCCATGTTTGACCATTCTACCACTCTGAGCTCTGCTTTTTAATCATTTTATTATTATCATCATTCATTTATTCATTCTTTGGAGGGGGGCTATTTCCTAATGCCGCCCTAATAAGCTGATGTTCAAGGGGAAATATAACAGAAACTCTTTCAGTGTTATTCATTAATAAATTAACAGATAAACTGTGAAGAAGAAAAAAAACTGAGATTTAAAGGAGAGAGTGAGAAACTTGATCATCCATCCTCATAATACATGTTTCTCAGTATCTGCTGTGACCATACTGCAGTAATAACTACAAGTCTACATTTCTGTGACTGTTGATCAATCACAGCAGGAATCTGAGCTCATCTCTGCACACAGAGCAGCTTCAGCTCTGGGATAAACTGCTCGCTTCACGTCCTTCTCAGCTCACAGACACTCATCCTGATATTTTCCTTTAACATTTGATGGTATAATTCATCTGAGTTTACACTTTATCTGCATAATACAGAAAAACAGACCCAAACACCATAAACCATCAGTTTCACCATGTAGAATATATTGTTGTTTCCTTTTAATTCAGAGAAAAACTCTGATTTGGATTTTCTCTGTTCTCTTTGCCACAGCCCATCCCAGCAGCAGCTGAAGCAGCTGACTGTCACAACACTGAATAACACTTTAGGAGGAATTTCAGAGGTCAGTAAAGCTCCAGTTTCAACATCAGTTAATTAATCATAGGTCATCATAAATGTGAACCTGGCTGGCACACATGTTAATTTTAGCCATTTAAATATTAGCAGTTAGCTGAGGCCACAAGAAGAAGAGGCCCTAGAAGAACAATGGATGATAAGATTAGATTTTCAAGACTAGGCAGAGACGTGTTTTCCTTTACTGTCTCTTACAGAGGAGGGAGCAGATACCAGACGAGGTCACGGAGGTACGGGGAGGATTCGCAGCAGACAGCAAGACTGCCACGTCCATGCGAGAGAGCGATGGCTACGATAATCTCTGTTTTTGTCTCCCTATATAATGTTGTACAGCCCATGTGAGGGTTAACACAAACATCAGTCCTTCTACTTAAGTACGTTTGACACTTTGTTTACGTCTAAATTAACTTTACTGTTAACGAGTTTTCATGTTTCTGTAATCCACCAGTGTGCTCATGCTTTTTTTAAGTGAAAACATATTTTTAATGATCAAATATAATTATGTTTGTTATTTGTGGATTTTAAATGTCCTTGACAGAGACAGATGATAATCATTATCCTGCACTGTGGTCTCAGGTTTGGTCGAGCTAGCACAAAGAATGGCTATGTTGAACTTCCTCCTGGGATCTACACTAAGAAGTGAGTCCAACATTAGCAGGGTCTCTTTCCTTTATCTGGATTCACTTTAGCATTCACAGTCACGTGAAGCTTGTTATTAACTCGATGAGTCAACCCAGGGTTTCAGCTGAGTGCTCACATGAAACACATGGTGTTGGCAGCATCTGATCAATCATATCCATGGAGACGTGTATCAGCAACAGAGCAGCTGAGTTTGCAGAAGGAAGTCAAACTAAACCACAGGAACAATATGAGGAGATTACACACATAATAAAATACTAGCAGTAACACAGCTGCTGCAGACAAATCAGTCATGTGATCGTGTGTGAGAGGAGAAGGACTGTAAAGGAGTTTGGTGTTAAAAGCTCTGTATGAATGTGGGAGACTTTGAAGGGCTTTAAAAAGGCCAATATAAAATAAAAGGCAGCAAAATTGCTGAGTGTGAAAGTCACCAGACTTATCAGACCTCTGTGATTAAGACCTGTAAGAACACCTATTTGTACTTGTTGGCATTATATCAAACACACACGTATATTAAGCCTTTGTTTGAACTCTGGTTGAATTTGTTACTTTCAGACTGTGAAACATCACAGAGGCTGCAGCTGCAGATCTTTTATTCACCTGGAAATTTACTTTAAATGTTAGGTGGAAAATGTATTGCTCAGTTTAACCAAAGTAAGAACAAGAATCCATAAACCTTCATAAAGACAAACATCTCCCAGAACATTGAGCTGCTGAAGTGTCACTGAAGGGAAAACTATTTGTCCTCCTCCATCCAGCAACACCTGAAACACCTGAGTGGAAGCTCCTCCCTACACTGTGTTTGAAGCAAAGCACAAAGGAGACACCTGCTGGAGCAGCTGGAGTCCTACAGACACTCAGCCTCTTCACTACACAAACACCTCCTACAACATCCACTCTTTCCACTCTGACTGCTGTGTTTGTGGAAACACTCCAACACACACCGCTTCACATACCAACATAGAAATGTGTGTGAAAAAGAGCTGAGCTGATATTAAACAAGAGGATTTATTCAAAAATACAGAGTCAGGAACAACATCTAGACACACATTACCTCTCAGCAGCAGAAGAACAGCCTTTAAAGTTTATAACAGCATCCTTCGACATGTTGCTCTTTAAGGAAACACAGCTGGGTTCAGGTCCAGGAGATTCTGGCCTCTTATTGATCCTAAAAGAAAAACAATAAATGTAACAGCTTCATGAGACAGGAAGGAAAAACTGGAAATATTAAATTAAAGACATGATGAACAATCTCATAAAATAATGTACTTACTCTTTGTCACATAACAGTCTTTTGTTAAAGTTTTCAATAATATCCTTCGAGTCGTTGCTCTTCAAGGAAACACAGGTGGGTTCAGGTCCAGGCTCTGGATTAGTTTCAGGGTTATGTCCAGCTGAGCCTGGTACGCCCCACAGCTCTGGGCTTTAAAACAACACACACAGAGGTATGAGTGTGAATAATGATGGAGCAGTGATGTGAGTGCTGAGCTGTGACATGGAGAAGAGTCATGGACAGTTAGAGATGGTCATCTCACCTCTGAGCTTTGGTCTGGCTCTCATGTTCCCCACACAGAGTGCTTTTAGAGGGAGGACGCCCTCCTCTCTGTCCTCACACTGATCCATGCTGCTCAATTCACATCAGCTCACACACACTTTCTACCTTCACCTGCAGAGGAAACACAAACCATTCATGTGCACATAAACCAAAATCCTCCTTTCCATCATGTGTGCTGTCCAAATATCAGCTGAATGCAGTCAGACAGCAGTGTGAGGCACAGGAAGCTGCCATCAGGTGCTCTACTTCTACTATCAGTCCACTAGATGGAGCCATGAAGCACACATGATGCATTCACTGACACACACTGATTCACTGTGACTGGAAGTTTGTTTCTGTTTTCTACATGTCTGCGTATTTCTCTGTGTATCATTTCCTCTTTTTTATCGTCTCGTGTCTTGTGAACTTAGCTTTGAGTTTTACTTCCCCCATTTGGTTAATGATTTGTTCCCATCAGTGTCTCAGTCTCGTCTGCATTTATCTATCTCATGTTCCCCTGTCCAGTCTGTTCTCCTCTATGTAATTTAAGCCTTGTTCTCTATGTTTTCCTGTTATAATTGTTTTAACTGTTGCTTCCTGTGACTATTGTAGTTTTCTCCTGCATCATGTCTCTCACCCGTTGCCTCTCGTCTCATTATCCAGTGTGTATTTATTGTCCCCGTCTTCTTGTGTACTTTGTGCTTTCCTTGCTCTGTGTTCCCATGGTTTTGGGGGCGGTGGTGTGGGATTGATTAAGGAAATGGCTGAGTTAATAGGAATGACCAAAATGAGAAAAATAAATCGATCTTCAATAAGAGAAAGGATTATTCTAAGAAGGAATATTTTTGATGGATCAGAATTATACAATGAAATATGAACAAAATCTTTTGTTAATCATTGTTTATTAACTGAACCTTGTTGAATTTGAGTAGAACTGTTTTTTAATTTGGCAGAAACACGGCAGCAGTTTGAAATGAAACTATCCAGGCTGTAGAGTAGATGAGCAAAATCAAGAATCCACTGAGATTTTCATGACAATAACTAAGAAGGATTTCTTAAATGAACTGTTGATACGCTGTTATAATAATCCACTGAGCTTATTGAATTTGGGGAGAAATGTCCTTTAATGTGCAATCACACAGTGGGCTGAGATGAAACTGCACACAGTGTGGGTGTCCCAGAAGAGGAATCAGTTAGAAATTTAGTGTCAGCTAGTAAGCAAGAATTTAAAAAATATTTTTACAGATATCAAATTTGTTCTTTTATATAAAACTGTAATTTATACTAGTCAGGTGGATCATCAACGATCATCAATCAGTGCAGTACCAGCAAAATTCAGACAGACACACAAACACACACATGCACAATTTTACTGTCTTAACACAGTATCATAAATCTAATTAGAATATGCTATAGTCCTTTAAATACCATTTTAAATATATTTCCAAAATATATTACAGATTTTTTCAGTCTGTTGAACAAAAATCCCCAAAGAAGAAGAAGCACTACCATAAAACTTTGTGTAAAAGTGCAAGAAAGTTTAAGAGGCTTACAAATGACGGCTCACATAACTGCGGTGTTACAAATCAACCTCGTTCATATCTGTCATCATGAACAATGCTATGGTTTGTGCTGGAGCGAAGCTGCACACAGCTGATATTATCAGAAAAAAATACATACTGATTTGATTACCTTCACACGCAGATTCACACAAAGACGACCAGCTGCATCAGCGAAGTTTAGAGAACAGACAGTGAAACTTAAAAAAGGAAACAGACAGATTTGTGGGAATGCTGGGGCTGGGGAACATTATTAATTAGAAACACAAAATGTTTCTAAGCATTTGTAAATGTTTGTTGGAGGGTTTAGAGGAGCTGAATCATTTTGTGTGAAAGTTAAAGTCAAACACACTCTTAGTAGAGAGAGACTGTGTCTGCAGATCAAACAGGTCTCACTGTGATGTCCCTTTAGTCAGACTCTGTCTCTGCTACATTAATGACTGAAAGTTGTCACGTTCTTATTTAGTTAATACTCTTTAAACCAGGTGTACACTTTTAGTTTAATACATTATAGATTCTCTGATGAAGAAATACGGTATATATATGTAACCTGATGAAGCGGTATCTAAAATGTTTTTATGTTTGACATACCAAGACTGTTTCACACTGCAGGAGTTGCAGATGATAAAACAAAGACTGTAAAGCTAAGCAGTTTGTTTGCTGTTTATCACTGCCTGTCCATTAGTCAAATTAATATTACTTTTATCAAAAATAATTTCCCGTCTGTATTTGGTCTTCCTCCATAGTCGCCATAGTCACATCATTGTGTTTTGTTGATGTTTCCCCTCCTTGTGATTCATTCAGTGTTCCCATGTCTGTTTCGCCCCCGGTCCCTGTGTGTCGAGCCGTGTCTCTTAGTTTGTATCCTGTTTTCTTTGGAAAGTCTCGTGTCCTGTGTTCAGTGTGTTCAGTTTTGCTTTCTCCTGTCTCATCACATCTAATTTGTCCCTGCTGTGTCCTCATGTGTTTCCACTTCCCTTATCATCCCTCTGTGTATATATTGTGTGACTTTCCTTTTGTTCATTGTCCCTACATTGTTTAGTTTCACTTTAGCCATGGCACCATTATGTTCATTTCAGTCAGCTGTTCCCCTGTGTGTTTCCACTTCCCCTGATCACCTCCTGTCTGTATTTAAGTCCTCTGTCTTTCTTTATTCAGTGTCAGGTCGTCTGCGTTGCCTCCCGTCAGGTCTTATCACAGTTGATTCAAAGTTATCACAGTTTTGTCACAGTAGTTTTCCTAGTTTGGTTTCAGTTTGGTTTTTGCCACTGCTCATGATGCTTTCATTTTGTATTCACGTTTATAGCCTAAATAAACAGCTTGCCTTTTTTTTCAAAACTTAGTTCTGCCTCCTTCCCTGTCTGCACTTGGGTCCACTTCATCATAACACTGGTGTACCCCACCATGACAGTTATGTCCAAGGTTTCCATGTTCCCAGTGTTTAGTTTCCCCACTTTAGTCTTGGTTAGTTTTCCTTTAGTTTGCAGCACGCGTCTGCTTCTGGGTCCACACTTCAACCTCCACATAGTCCACAGCCCACACTGTGGCTGGGGTCAGGTCACAGAGTTTTGGACTTTAACTGGCATTTTATGCAAAGTTTCATTTTTTTCCTGGAATTTACTTCCCATGTTTTGCTGGCTGTGTGTTATGACTCTGGAAATTATTCTAAAAAATCTTAATTTGTGATTGTTTCATGACCAGATCCTACAGACTCTTTACAGTCATTATGGGATGGTTTTACAGGTGGAGGACACTGATATTTTTCCTCCTCATACCAGTGTCACTACTGGTATGAGAAGAGACCAGTAACCTGTACTTGTATCTGACAAAACAATCAGAAACAGATTTTATAAGGGTGGCCTGAGGGCCTGATGTCCTCTAGCAGGCCCTGTACTCACTGACTGGAACCATGCATGATTGACATTTGCCATAGAATACCAGAATTATCAGGCCACCACTGGCAGACTGTGTTTTTCACCCTGAACACATATGACAGATATGAAAGGGTCCAGAGAAGTTGTAACATCGTTCTGCGTGGCCAGTTTGATAGTGGGCCAGTAATGACCCAAGAGGCATATCAGTGGAGGGAGGCACAGACATCTATGGGCTGGCAGCATCACCCTGACTGCAATTAGGCATCAGGATGAAGTTTCTGGACCTCTGGACTGATTACCAAACTCTACGCTGGTGCAGTGGTTGCTCCTCCTGCTGCAGGACAATGACACCAAACACACCTCCAGGCTGTGTGAGGGCTGTTTGATCAAGAAGGAGCGTGATGAAGTGCTGACCAGATGGTCTGGCCTCCACAGTCACCTGACCAAAACCCAGTGGAGATGGTTTGGGATGAGATGGAGCGCAGAGTGAAGGCAAAGGACCAACAAGTGCTCAGCATCTCTGGGAACTCCTTCAAGACTGTTGGAAACCATTTCAGGAGACGACCTCATGAAGCTCATGGAGAGAACGCCAAGAGTGAGCAAAGCAGGAATCAAAGCAAACATTAAATTTTAGTAAGCTCTTTGGGATCCACTAAGGTTTTTGAAATTCCGTCATATTTTGTTTGAGATATCTTTTTTCTCTGCTGATCAAACTGGAGAGTCTCACTGTAATGTGTCGGCGAGTCACACTCAATTTTATTTTTAGTTTGGAAACTGAACAGACTTTCAGTAAAAATAATGATTCAGCAATGTACAATGTTGGGAACTAATACATTTATAACTATTTTCTAAAGGATCATTTAATGCCACTACAGGCAAGCTAAAGTCTAGCTATCATTTCATAATTCCCACAGCAAAAGTAAGGTGACAGGTGACCACAATGTGGCAACAAGACTGAATTAAGACTGGAAACCTGCACCATCATCTCATCCATCCTCTCAGTTTGCAAAGTAGACCTACACCATTGTCTCAAAGGTATACTCTTCTGTTGGATAATTTGTTAGTTTGTTAAAAACTGACAGAGGAAGCTGTACAAACACATCACATGTCAGTTGTCAGCAGAAGTGTAGAGAGGACAAAATGTAAGCGCTGAGAAGTTCAGAATCTGAGATTTGTCCAGATTTATAGAGGAACAGATCAGATTTATTTTGTTTATATCATGTTCAGTCTTTCAAAATTAGAAAAGGCAGAATTTGTGTTGTTCAAACACACTGATTCCACAAAAAGACACAAATGTGAAATTGCCTAGCTAACAGTTACAGAGTGTTACGAGTTCAAAATTGGGGATGGAGACAAGAGAAAAACCACAATAACAACACTGGTCCGGCCGGGTTGAGTCAAACGATGATTTTAATGATCACACACGTGGGAGATGGACACTGTATGCAGACAGCCTCAGATCTCAAAATGGTGGAGCATTGATCAAACTCTTATAGCCTCTGGTGCCCCCACCTAATCATAAAAGCCTAAACATTCACTTGCTTTCTCTCACACGGCGCCTAAGCTACGACCTTGGCTCCCTGTTTATCTGCTCCTGCTGAGATGGGGCAGAAAACTCCAGCATGCTCTGTTCTCTTCTAATCAGACAAATAAGGCGATGACTTTCTGCGAACAGTATTTCTTATAACATCATAAAACAATATCATTCATCCACAATAAATCAGCAGTCTAATGTAATGCAAATCAGTTTAACTAATGCAATAGTTATCAGCTTCTTCTAATTCAGGAGAATAATGCCAACTAAAACTACCTAATAATTCACAATCTTTAATTAGGGGTCTAACATGGCATAAAATGATATTATAATCTAACACTATGCATTGTATAATAGCCAGTGAGGGGACAGACATGGCAAATGGTGCAACATGTCAGACTGTGGGATTATACATTTGTTAGTTTTTCTAATGGCCTCTTCAAAAGGTATGTTTTATTCCATATTGTCATTTTTGGTTTTTTAAGTTATTTATTGTGACAGGAAAACAAAACAAGAAGCTCCTAAAAAGGTCATAAATGTGAGAACTTTTCCAAAGAAATCTCAGTCAGTTATGCCTGAGATAGAGAGATGATTATAACAGAGTAAAGATAGCATTAAAATGTTGGTGACAGAAGTAATGCTAAAATCTCAACAAGCCAAAGTTACAGACATGTTAAAGGGAAAGATCAAACAGTACTGAAATGAAGAAGTGGGCATTACGGGGCTTCCCCAGTGAAATAACTGAACTTGGAGCACAAAATAATAAATAACATACCAGTAATGCGCGGAGGGAAGGCTTCTGAGAAAATGTATAAGTTCACAGGGAATTTCTACAATAGCACGAGTTAGATGTGGGCAGATTGATGCAGTTATCAATAGTATTGATACCAATGCTGGTATTGTTACTGGAGATATACTACTGCAATAGGATTGGTACTTTGTTTCTGTCCTGTAAGTTCAGTATGTACCTCAGTGAATTCTGTTATGTAGTTGTTGTTTTTTTTTAAATGAAACATAAAACACGGACTATGAAAGCCTCTTATTTTGTTTGTGCAGCTCTAACAACAGTGATACAAGCACAGCAGACTGTGCTGGCTGCAGTGGGAGAAGATGCTGAATTCAGCTGTCAGCTCTCGGAGACTAAATACTAGAGATGGACTGATCCGATATTACGTATCGGTATCGGTCCGATACTGACCTAAATTACTGGATCGGATATCGGAGAAAAATCAAAAATGTAATCCGATCCATTAAATATCACGAAAGCACCTCGCAAAACTTGCAACACGCCGTAACTCACCTCAGAACGTTAGCACGTTGGAGCAGTATGCATCACGTGATAGAGCGGCTGTGGCATGCGGGACCTGTCGGTGGTCTGGATAGCATTTGGAGCTTCGCTACCAACCCGGCATTTCATTTCCGACAAAGTTATCCCGAGAGAAGTAAAGCAAGTGTGTAAGTCCATCTCTGAATGTTTGTAAAGCATTCCTGCGTTAAGCTTAACAAGCGACTGCCTCTTCTTGCTGCTACTTCAATCATGAAACTGCTTAATGATCAGCTGATCTGCTTTTCTGTCGCGAGTCCGTCTCTCTTGTTTGTTTTTGGCCCACTTTGCACCAGAAAGAGGAAACCAGCGGCTGAACAACAGCAGCACGTTTAAGCTTGATAAGCTGTTGTTAGAATTTATTTAATATTACTTTCTACACCAGGATCTTTTTCTACGTAGCTGACGCTGGTAACTGTGCAGGGGCGGATCTAGCAAAGTTTAGCCAGGGGGGCCGATAGGGCATGAACAGGGAAAAGGGGGCACAAAGACAGACTTTTCTTTCTTATTCTCATTTAAAATGTCGAGCTTTTAATAAATAATTATCTGACACCCAAAGTTTTAATTTGATGTAAAAGGAATAGAAGTCAATTACTGTATATAGTGACTATTAAGTCTAATATATATACCCTAGTAAGCTATAGTACTTTTTCCTTTGGGAAGGTACCATCTGTGCAGTCTGCAATTTTGTTGAAGAAAGATGTTGAATCTATTTAATATTTCTTGAAAAATAATTGATTTCTGTGCATTTTTTTTCACACTGCATCAAATTAAGGTTGAATACGTCGATTAAGAATCATGAGGTGGAGGGTGAGGGGTGGTTCCCTATTTTTTATTTATTTATTTTTGTTGTTGCTGGGAATTGGAACCCTATTAGTTAGGTTGCTTAATATTTACACTAAGTACTCTTTAAAATACTAGAATAGGGAGGATGGTGTAGGTTTAAGTTTATTAGATTGATCAGTATTGCTGAACTATGAAATATTTTTTTTTGCATACAGGTATAACAGAATAGCTTTAGTGTAGTTGTTGTTTTAAGCTTGAGTATGAACTTATACAAAATTCAGCAAGATATTTAAAAAAACAGTTTTGTTGATTAAAAAACACTATATCGGATTCATATCGGTATCGGCAGATATCCAAATTTATGATATCGGTATCGGTATCGGACATAAAAAAGTGGTATCGTGCCATCTCTACTAAATACATCCTTCAGGTCACATGACAGAAAATCTTACAAGATGTGGAGACAAATGTTGACACCTACAGCTTTACTGAATTTTCAAAATGCAGAAAAAAATGATTGAGTTTGCTGATTAAAACACTGATGAAACTCTGCACTGGGAAGTTTTTGTACTTTACTTGGTACAGTTGATCATTCTAACATGCCTTGGAATGTCCCACAAGGAAGGGAGATTCTTCCTTCCTTCGGGGACATTTGAGTTTTCAATAATTTGGCTATTGTACGACGTTGTTTCAATACGTGGTACAATAGCCAGTGGGGACACAGAGACATGCACCATGTCAGACTGTGGGATTCTGTGTTTGTTTTTTCTTTTTATGGCCTTTTAAAAAGGTAAGTTTTATTCCGTATTGTTGTTTTTGTTTTTTAAAGTTATTTATTGTGACAAGAGAAAAAAAAAGAAAACAAGAACCTTCACTCGTAATAATTAAAAATTGATCCTAAAATGTGAGAACTTTTCTCTGAAGTGACAAAGAGATTGTCTTTAGACAGAATTAGAGGGAGAGATACAATTACTGAAGAGTTTAGATTTTGTTTGAATGAGTGACAAAACGTTTCTCCCACTGAACAATCAGCCTAATAAAAGAGAACAAAATCAACTTTCTGTGTCATGAGTTGTTCATCATTCAGATTAATGAGACTGTTTTGAGAGCTGTGTGAAAACAGCTTTAGACTGTTTTGTTAAAGGTTTCCCCATGCCTATTCATATTACGATGAAAGCAATAGATAAACCACATGTTTGTGTGTTATGTATGTATGGTTGGTAAATTAACAAAAATTGGGTTGTATGTGGCCTACAATGTAAAAGACGTTTCACAACCCCAATGTAGTTAAAAACAAGAAGGCACTCATTTCCATTAGACAGAGACGGAGTTCAGGTCATAAGTAGTTTACTGACAATTATTTAACATTTGAAATTAAAAGATCCGTCAGTCCATTCACATATATACTGTTCAGAGAAGGAATGTAGTTTAGAGCAAAGTGTAGTAGTGTGAAGTGGCTAAACACACTCACCAATTGTTCTAAAATAAACAATTTATCAAAACATTAACAGTCTTTCACACATACATACGGTTTATACACTATTTTAAAAAGAAGGGGTTGAAGACCTGATTGATTACAAAAAGTCTATTAAAATGTTCTGGGTAACCACAGAAATCTTAGTCAGTTATGTCTGAGAGAGAATGTTTATGACAGAAGTAATGCCAAAATCTCAACAAACCAAAGTTACATACATGCTAAAGAGAAAGATCAAACAGTGCTGAAATTAGGAAGTGGGCAATATAGGGCTTCCCCAGTGAAATAACTGATCTGAAATAATTGAGGCACAAATTAATAAATAACATACTAGTAATCCACAGAAGGGGAGGCCTCTGGGAAAATGTAGAAAATCAATGGGAATTTCTACAGTAGCACGAGTTACCAGTCAATACCAGTCCTGGTATTGGTTATGTTGAAGTGATGGGTTTTATAATTCATTTTTGGTCCACTGAAGGGATTGTTTTGTAACCCCAATATTGATATTTTGTAAATAAAAAATATGACCTCAATTAAACCTTTAAATTCCCTGCACTTGTCATAGATATCTACATGATGTCCAACAAATATACATCAAGTCCAAGGTTCTAATGTTGAACGCCATATTGATGTCCAGCTTAAATCATGGTTGGACCTCCAAATTGTTGGAAAAGTTCAAATGCAGTACAGACCTCCAGAATTGGTCATGGACCAACAGAACCAATATAGACACGATCTGTACATCTATCTGACTTTCTTTGTTTAGTTGGTAGCTAACTGAATTGTCTTACTTTTTTTTTATAGATGAAAGAAAATGTCCCTGAAACATACAGTATGAAACAATGAGTGTCAGGTTTATATTTATAGTCTACATCACATTTAAGTGGTACCCATATGTCAATTTGTTTGAGCCTAAAACACAGGATTCTCCATGACCCGAATTATTGTTTAATCCTTCCCATCAATACCTCTCAGTTCCACATCTCTAACTCATGTTATTCTCCATGCAGCTCTAACAGCAGTGGTCCAAACACAACAGACTGTGCTGGCAGCAGTGGGAGAAGATGCTGAATTCAGCTGTCAGCTCTTGGACACTAAAGACGTCCTTCAGGTCACATGGCAGAAAATCTCACGTGATGTGGAGACAAATGTTGCCACCTACAGCAAGTACTATGGTCAGAGAGTGAATGATGGCTTTAACGATAAAGTCAAGTTTAAATACACTGGACTACAGAACTGCTCCATAGTCATCAGGAATGTGACGGAGCAGGATGAAGGATGCTATCACTGTCTGTTTAACACTTATCCTGAAGGCTCCTTCACTGGTAGAACCTGCTTCCAAGTCTATGGTAAGAACTTTTGCATTAATGTGTTTAAATGTGCTAGAAACTGATTTCCTTTCAACAACATATTCCTTGCAATATCTCCTGATCCTTCACAGAGCTGCATGAACCTGTTGTTGATGTCAGAGAGTCAAACTCTGCTGAAGAGTGGGTTGTTTCCTGTTCAGCCACTGGTCGACCTGCTCCCACTGTAACACTCTCACAACAACACCTCAGCTTCTCACAGTACAACACTGTCAGTGTGTCCAACACCAACGCTACATTCACTGTCACCACTACAGCTGTGCTCTCAGGTTCACGTAAACACAGCACACAGGTGGGATGTGCAGCACGAGTGCTCTCTGCTCCTCACAGAGAGGTGATGGAGACGATTCCTGAGGTCCAGCAGACGTCAGATTATCAGTGATGGTGAGAAACTGAGATGCAATAACAATGCATTGTGCTAGTATGCATTTTCTCTTTGATCAATAATTGATGTCTTCATTTTGATCAGTGTCACATTTTTCCTGCTTTTTCAAGTTTCCTCCTGGATCATTGTATTAGCTGCAGTATTGGTGATGATGGTCTTTGTCAGTGTTGCTGCTCTGCAGTAGGCTACTCTTTAAAGAAAAAGACCAGATAACTTTCATTTTTCATTTCTTGTCATTTTTTTCTACACCAAAATCTATCCAATAATATCTGCATAACATTTTCTACTTGTGATTTAGTTATTAATTCTTTGCTTCATGATTCAATCGGTCTTTGTCTAGTATTAAATTTTATGTCTCCCATTTAATCCCACTGGCTTTAAAGTGTTTCACCAGATTTTTACGAAGTATTTCCAGTCTTTTGTTGTCTCTGTCCCAAATGTTCTGAAATGTGTTGCATGTATTAAAAGAAGTTGGACTTTACCAAAAAATGTACTATGTACTTATAAACTTACATTTATGAAAGCTGAACAAACATTGATGTACTTGACTTTTGTAACAGTGAAAAGGCGATCTGTTTTTATTGATAAATATATATGTTTGCATTACTGTTATTTAGATTGCCATGTTAGAACGTAGCAAACAACATTGTTTGTTCCTCTATGGTTTCTTTATTTTTACAAATCTAAATGTTTTTTGTCAAAAGATTAATAATTTCATATTGAGGTCAGATGGTCAGCAGTTTTGATGTTTTTGCAGAGATTTTATTTTTTGCAAAATAGCACAAGTAAACATTAAAAGTAGTTCCTAAACCAAGGCATTTATTATTAAGGCGGCCATTATTATGGCCCTGTGTGGAAAAAGTGATTGCCCCCTAAACCTAATAACTGGTTGGGCCACCCTGAGTAGAAACATCTGCAATAGAGCATTTGGGATAACTGGCAATGAGTCCTTTACGAGGTGGTGGAAGAATTTCTGCCCACTCATCTTTGCAAAATTGTTGTAATTCAGCCACACTGGAGGGGTTTTGAGTATGAACCACCTTTCCAAGGTCACAGCACCTCAATCAGATTCACATATGAACTTTGGCTAAGCCATTCCAAAGTCTTTATTTTGTTTTACTTAAGCTGCTTAGAGGTGGACTTGTTGGTGTGCTTTGGATCAAGTGCACTTCAGCTTGTGGTCGTGAACAGATGGCCAGACATTCTCCTTCAGGATCCCAGAAACTGGATTCTGTTCATCTTGACGTTGCATCTCCAGACTGAGAGATCTCAATTACTTTGTTTCTTATTTGCTTCTGAATTTCCTTGGATTGCGCCATGATGTGTAGTTTTTGAGGATCTTTTGGTCTACTCTACTTTGTCAGACAGGTCCTGTTTAAGTGATTGATTCAGCACAGGTTTGGCAGTAATCGGGCCTGGCTATGACTATGGAAAAATTGTATATTTTCTATTGATAAATGCAAATATTTTATGTCTGTTATGTGCATTGCCGTGTGGAGAATATAAGGAAAGAAATTGTGTGGTTTACATTGTTTCTTCCTCTTAGATTTCTTGATTTTTTTTAAAAATTGCAATAACTTTATGTTAATTTCAGTGCACTTTCACATTTCTTTAAATTCAAACTACAGTCCTGTGAATAACTAGAAACACTTTTAGCAGCACAAATGTGAGCTAATTGTTTTCTGCTTGACTTTATCAGTCTCTCATATTGTTGTGGAGGAATGTTGGCCCACTCTTCATTACAACGTTGCTTCAGTTCTTTGAGCTTTGTGGGCATTTATTTAAGCACAGCTCTCTGAATGTCCCAGGTTGAGGTCTGGACTTTGACTGGACTTTGCTTTTCAGCTATTCTGCTGTAGATTTGCTGCTGTGTTTGGGATCATTGTTCGACTGCAAGACCTAAACTTTACCTATTAAACAGTTAACTCTGTATTTTACACTTTATGTGAATATTGTTGCAGATTTCAATTATTAATGTTTTTATAACTTTGTTCTTTCTTATATTTAATATTATACAATATTTATACTTCATGTCTCTGTCTTCTTTTGAACACTCCAGCACAGCATCACTATAACTTTGTCCTCACTGACAATAAAGCTGTTTTATATATTTCATTGCAAATGTTTCAAGCAATTTGTAGCTGTATCTTAAGATATTTTGTTAATAATATAGTATTTTATATTGTTTTTTTCCCCATATTTGAGAAATATTTAACATGTAAAAGTCTGTTTATGTACAATTTGGTGATATTAGCCCTGATTATTGGAGGAACTTGTACATGAAGCAGATTTCTGAGACTTCAGATTTGAAGGTTGTTGTCATATAATCTAAATGATGGCAGATTAACGTTCCCTACCTCTGTCCTACAACCACAGGACTCCTTTGCATTCGACTGATAGAAATTTCAAGCTCAGTGTTAATGAAGATTTCAAAGGCCTTAGTGCAGGGGTAGGGAACGTCTAAAACCTGCAGGGACACCGGCCCTCGAGGCCTGGAGTTCCCTACCGCTGCCTTAGTGTGAAAGGAATGAAGCTGTAGCGCCTCCCAGTGGTTGAAAAGAGGTACACAAGAGGTTTTTGCAACCTGCTGTTTAATGAAGGTAATCAGCTGGGACAAAGGTACATTATGAGAATAATATCTCTGACAAACCTCTCCCTCAATTAAAAGATGCATTTTGATTTACATGAATGCATTTCATCTTCTCTGCAAAGGCTACACAACCTTCTTTGCCATTTGAGTGTGTCCAGTCCAGCTGAAACCAGCTCATTACTGATGGCATGAAAACGGTCTGTGAGGTAACATTTTTGCTGTCATTCATTCCTGTTGAAAACTTGTCACGTGTTTGCTTAGGTTCTTCTCAATAATCCTCCCGTATCCTGTGTAAAAACTACCCGAGCTTAAAGTATACAGACTGCATATAAATATATATATTAAAATACAGATAGCAGCAGCCACGAAAACATAGGCAAAAGAGAGCATAGCAGTGTCGTAGATGTAGCCAAATAAGACAGATAAATTAAGATGGAAAATCCCCAAAACAAAACCCAATCTTTAGTGTGGGAGCATTTCCATGTCATTCCCAAAGGTGTAATTATTTTCAGCGACTGCAAACTGAACACAAACTTTTCATAACTGAGTTTGTTTCTTCAGTTGTATTTTGGTAATGCTGTTGTACAGCAGGGAAGTAAACACAAGTGCTAACGCTAACAACATCCAATCAGGATTTATTGGTTAGATCAAAGCTAACATCTGCATTACATGTGAGCACTACACATGTTATTTAACATATACACTGTAAAAGCTGTGATTTGGGTTAATTAGTATCTAATAGGAAAGTAATAGTAACTATTACTCAGTAAAAGCATGTATGTGTTGTTTTAATTAAATCTAAGCAAAATTAAACATTTTTGAGATGTTCAGTTATGTAAATTTACACAATTTTGTTTGGGGTAAATTAAGCAATAGTTTGTTGAGCAGATTTAACAAAAATGTATGAGTACCGTGAAAAATGAAGAAATCTAATAGATTTAACTAATGAAAGCATTTTCATTTCAATCATTCTACACTTCCGCCTGTTGTCTGTTGTGCCACGTGCAGAACACACACGCTTCAGCAGTGGATGATCTCCATTTGTCCGAGGTAAGATTGTCTTAATTTGTACGAATATACGACACGTTTTAAACAATAACGTATAGCAGTTTTGAGTAAAAGTTCTAAACAGTATGATACGTCAAAATTAGACTAATAATGACCACTGTAATGACAGTATTGTATTTTTACACAAAATGGCACGAAGTGGACTGCTAGCATAAGGTCACTTTCCAAGCCTTCGCAGCTGTGTTACTTAAGAGCTTTGACTAACCACGTTTTACCATATTAAAAAAATATATCAATTATGTATTTCGATGGGCTGTAACCTCCCTCATTTACTTTTAAAATTTTATGAAAAAGTTTTGCACTCAGCAGTGAGTGATGTAATTAAAATCATTTGTGCGGGATTTTGTCAGTCACGGTTTTTCAAAGCTTTTGTCTCCACGCAGTGTTTTTCAGTTGTGGTAATTAAGCTAAAGTGGCTCAGTCCAGCAAAATAACTGGTTTTCATTTTCATGCTGTCGGAGCCCTGTGAATTTAGTGCAGGCACAGTTCACATAGAGGGATAATGCAAGTTTCCAGTTAAACTTGGTCGGTGTATCAGTGAGACCCATGCTCAGTCACGATGTAACGATCTTCAAGACAAAGCTACATTCAGGAAATAATATAGTAATACGTGTTTAATCTGACATAAGTCTTTCATAATTTCTATGTTTAACACCCAATGGTGTTTGGATACAGAGATGACCTTGTGTAGATTAAAAGGACATCTTTTCAAATATGGGAAGATATATACAGTATATAAATACACAAATAGTGTTATTTCATGTCATGATCTGTCACCAAATCGGTACAGAAAATAGAGTCTATTCCCTTTTTAATCTAATAAAGAGTTTCATTGTTTTATATGTGAATCTCACCTTTAAAAATTTTAGTATTAATTCAAATTTGTCTTTAACAATTTGTGTGTGTAAAATTTTTACTTTGGAGAGTGCGATTGCTATTAATGTTGTGTTCTTTTCAGTTGTTGGAAGATCCCTCAACTTAAATTCAGCTGATCAGTATGTAGACTATGCATTTTGAATAGGTTTTGATGGATGATTGTATTGAATTAAACTACTAGTTTTGAAATTGAAGCAGCAGAAAATGACAAAGTTGACCCTACTTAATCTAACTTAACTCTGCCCATTTACATTTTATTCTAGGTTGAACGAGATAGAGCTCCATGTAATCACTGATGACCAAACGGAGAAGTTGGTTCTTTCATCAGGGATCCCACCAACAGTAGGAGGAGCTGCAAGGTGTTGTGAAGGATACCTTTGGGATTTCAAACAACTTAAGTCTTCAGTATTTTAAACCAAAATTTCAGGACTACTTCACTATTCGCAGAAGTGACCAGATAAAAGACAAAGACACTGTGAAGGTTGTTGGCATCACCCTGGTCATCCTGCCA